ATCAGCGCGTGAAAAAAATGTTTGAATTTATTTGAAAATCTCAACTGTTAGAGGGAGTCAACGCCAAACAAAGTGGCGTGCACGTCATCACGATAAAAATTCCCCGACCTAATGCCTAGGTTTCTATCACAAACAATTGCTCTATTGCAGTTTCATATTAATGTGATATATAAATTTTAAAATGGTCATTACTCTCTTATTATGGTTAATAGTCATATAAACATTGTTATTAAAATATCACATAAGTTGCTTTCTGATAAATTTAGACGCATTATGCGAAATAAAATGTTTTGCAAACGCTCCAATCACTTATCGACATGTAAACGTACTAAACCGATTTCGCAGCGTTGACACATTGTCACCTTGAAACTTATTTAAACTGGGAACTGACATTTGTATTAATTTTGACACTGAATCAATTTGTGGCATTTCAAATCTTTATAAATCCTTTGGCCCCGCATACTGTAAATCAACAACTGTTTGTTTCAAAACAAAATTATTTATTTTACGAGTAGATAAAGGCAATTTTGGTATATAAAGATGCCCAAACAGTTAAATAGTCGGTGTAAGGAACTCGTGGCCTCGTTAATGCACTACTTTGAGCAAGAAAGGGACAACAACGGGCCTTTGTTGCCTTTAAATGCTGTTCAAGAGGTAGGTTACTAATAATTATATGTAATGTATATTAATAATAGTGAAATTTTATTTCATTTTTTGTAGCGTGTTGCTGCTGCTTTAAAAATTAGTTTAAGGACAGTTAGTCGTATTTCCGAGGGTGTGAAAAGTGATGCAAATTTAGAATCGCCCAAGAAAAAGCGGAGTTATATTAAACGTGTAACCAACACAGCGACATTGGATACAAGTGCCATTCGATAAGTGATCTATAATATGTATCACAAAAGTAAGATCTTATTATAATAACTTATCAGAAATTTGCATTAATTTGTTAACTAAATTATAATGTCATATTACACATGGTTTCAGAAGAACAAGTTACGATACAAACTTTATGGTCTCGATTAAGAGATAGGGCATTATTTGATGGTAGTGCCACGTCTTTAAGGCGGTTGCTTAGAGATCTTGGATTTAAGTGGCTTAGCGACAATCCGCGACGAGGGCTCATGGAACTACCAAGTATAGCTTTGAAAAGGGTGGAATTTCTAAGGCAATACAATCAAGCCAAGGTTGAGGCCTTATACCAGTTTGTCTCGATGAAACTTGGATATTTCAAAATGGGACCATAGGTCGCTCTTGGCAAAATGGAAACCAAAAAAGCGTGAAAGCTATTAAAACAGATGGTAAAAGGTATGTACTTTTACACAATTTGCACTATAAAATTTAAAACTAATATATTTTAGATACATTATATTACATGCTGGAAATGAAAATGGGTTTATTGAGGGTAGTGAAGCGATATTTTCTTCGAAAACAAAATTGAGCGATTACCATGGAGAGATGAACCAGGACAATTTTTTGAAATGGTTTCAACATCAGTTATTAGAAAAATTGGAGAGTCCATCTATGATTATACTGGATAACGCCCCTTATCACAGCATGATATTGAACAAAGTGCCCAACAATGCATAGACAAAAAAAAATATCCAAGACTGGTTGACAAATCAAAACATACCATTTTTAAACACAATGTTTAAAACAGAGCTATTGAGTATTGTTGCTCGGTACATAATGCTTCTTAATTATATATATTTTGGTCGACAGTTTATATTTCTTTTGTTTATTCCTATTCTTAAAATAACTGCTTTTTTAGAAACAAACCACCTAAAATATACGTGATTGATGAATTGGCGGAACAACATGGGCACAAAGTTCTTCGTCTGCCTCCTTACCATTGTATATTTAACCCTATTGAGTTAATTTGGGGCATAGCAAAAGGTTACTATAACAGACATATTGGTAGAGATTGTAACAGTGAAAAAGACTGTTTGGATATGTGGAACGAGGCTCTACAAACGGTTACCCCAGACATGTGGAAAAATAGTGTTCGACATACTGAGCAAGAAATTTTTAAATGGTATGAAAGAGAACGAATTTTTGATCGACCAGACATCGAACCTTTAATAATCAACTTTGAGAGTGATGAAGATTCAGATTCAGACAGCGCTGAAGAAAGAAACTCCGACTAACTTTATTGTACAGAAAAAGCTTACACCAGTAGCTTACCTAATTTTAGAATGCATTTTTCTGTATGAATTCTGTAAAATAAATACCATGCATAAAATTTGGAGGACCCCATTTGGATTTTTATTCAGTACCTTTAAGCTATCAATTAAATATGGTAGTTTCATAGTGTCATCTGATCAATAATTGTCATACTTAATGATTATGCAAGTACAGATCTATAATTTTATTATACTATTATTTTTGTTCTCATTTGAGGTTAATATTGCTTATAAACCTAGATATGTAAATAATAAATTTTATTATTTTACAAAAAGTTTGGCAACAATGTAAATTTTTCAACACACCCACCTTGATGACGTGCACGCCACTTTGTTTGGCGTTGACTATACTTATATTGCATTGTGGTATTAATTTGGAGTATGAGTGAAACGTGTTTTCCACAAATACGGACCAAAATGTTCATAATCTGTGCTCTTCAAAGAAAGTAGTTATAAATACATCTGCAAGACCATAAGGAGCACATAGCTATTGAAAGACTTCTATTTCGAGCAAAATATTTGACTATTCTCATGTCAGTCAGCCATCTGGCGGTCACATGGCGATTGGGCTATTAAACGGGAACTGAGATCTCTGACAGTTCCAACTAATACCAGCTATGCGCTTTCCACGGTGGTCGATTCTGGTGTGATAGATGGCGCTTTACCTCCGGTATAGAGGATAGATGCGATGTTTTCGTTCGTTTCTTCAGAGACAAGAGACCAAGTCTAGACCATGATGAGTAGCAATGAAACAGCAAATATGGTAGCTGTCTTTTTTGGCGAATGGATGGAAGCACCATGTTTAGTTTATTCAATGGCAAGTGGACCGTATATACTTTGCGGCCAGAATCGTCAGCCATCTAGCGGTCACGTGGTGACTGGGCTATTAAACGTAAACTAGGATCCCTAAAAGTTCCAATTTATAGCAGCTATGCGCTTTCCTCAGTGGTCGATCCCGGTGTGATACATGGTGCTTTGCATTGTCTTATTTAACATGTCAGTGCTTTCGAGGAAATTGAGTCATGTAGAATAAAAACGCCTAAAATTGAAGAAACGATTGTACTGTCGGAAATAAGATTCTGCAAAGCTTTTTACTTTATTCAATCAGATTAGCTGACTCATAAATGCTGTCATTCATGACGAATAAGGACCAAGTCATCTTTCTCAGCATTTTCTGCACCAAATATTCTGTTTCTGCACCTCAATATACATGACTTTGATGCTGATTAAACTAGGTAGCCAAGAATATAGTTTTGAGGCTTGTTCAATTGAAACCCATCTTTGGACCATAAAAACAACAACAATTAAGGCACACATGTTTCACCAATCGATGTATACACTGCTTAAAAAATTCTTGTGGTTGCTACCTGAAGAATTCTTTTACAGCATTGTACTTCAGTGGTTTAAAATAATGACACCAAGATTCGTCGCCAGCAATTATTGGCGACAAAAAGTCATTACCGTTTTGCTTACATTCCGTGAGACGGTGCAAAGATAAGCCCATTCGCAAGCTGTTAAGCAACATTTTGTGAGATTGCTCTGTGTAAAATTCGATTTTCAATAAGCAAGCCTTCCGCACATGCCACATTCTTGTCTATTGATGCAGTAATCAATGCATTGCAATGCAATTGAAGCCGCACACGGTACTAAAAGTCTGTCACAATATCATTAAAGAAATTAAAAATATTCGTGGACCTAGCTCGGAACCTTGGGGCACACACATAAGCTAAAAATCTAGATGTTAACCTGCACCTAGATATGTTCTGCAATAGAACACCTGATTCCAGCAATCGAAAGCTTTCGAAAAATTAGTATAGGCTACACTAACTTGCCTGCCATTGTCCAGAACTGGAATGAGAAAACGAAACATCAAAAAGGTAAACTCGAAAATTTTGGCGATATTACAATAGCCCAATAAATGCGCTTCGCAACGTTGAGTTAGATATAGTGAAATTTCCAGAATTTATTCTCGAAAAGCACGTATTATCTTTTTTCAAATACAGTCAATATAAAGCTGATTGAATGTAGAGATATAATTCCACGTACGACATGCAGGTACTGGAAATTCAAGCAACGGTCCTGTTTACACGGTTAACATTACGAGCTTGCTCTATTTAATGAATAAAGGCGCAAAATGCAGGCTTTTACGCGGCGCAATTAAATGCGCTGCATTCAAGAATCGGAAGGTAATAGGTTTTTGTCCAATTACGTTTTTGATGTTGTCAGCATGATTTCTGCATTACACATTGTTGTATAGGTATAAAAAATGGTGCGTATTCCATCACAACGAAAAAAGTAATTTGTAAACTCGTAGAGGTTAGCAATGCATGTTATTTAAAGTATGCTTAATTGATTTAAGGTATTCCTCCCTGGTCACTATGACCATTCCTTGTAATTTTAAATAAAGCGCGCTAGTTGCCAGGCTTTTGCATACAAAGTTTGCCAAGTCGCATGTTGAATAGATCATGAATACGATACATAGGATTTTTAACACTGGTTTTCCCTGAACGTATACCATATTGTTCATCTTTCATCCCTTATCAAAAGTCCATATTGGTTCATAAGACCAAGATTCTATCATTGCCTCGAGTCAGTGGTTGAGATAAGACGTGTTTTACATGGCTCCTATATCAGTGCCTGTTTAGTAGATTTGCAGTTTTTTACTCTAAAATTGTGTCTGAAGTGTTTGAATAGTTTTGGACTACCCCATCTCGAAGAGGTACAACAATTTTTGCATATTTATTGCATTATTTGCTAGTTTTTGTGGAGTTAATCTCTGTTGTCAACACATCCTTTTTTGTGTAGCATAGGCGTAACATCATGCCTCCATCCAATTTAATTTGTGCCTGCTGTAATAAATCGTTCAAGCTGAATATGATGATCAAATGTACAGTTTGCATGAAGGCTTTTAGGCATTTATGTGTCACTTTAACTATTGATGAGGAGAACATGTTAAATGACCAAAGCAAAGGCTACTCGTGGACATGTTCTAGCTGCAGAAATATCAATAATCAAATCAACGACCTGAAGAAGCTGATTTTGTCCCTTCAAGATGATATCAAGGCTATCAAAGGGGGAAATGGTGCAACAACACATGATCCCAAAGATAGTTTTGTTTTTGAGGAACTTATCGAGGAAATAAACAACAGAAACTCTCGCAAGCGAAATGTGATAATTTTCGGCTTGCCAGAGCAAGATCAAGCTGACGTGCCTCCAACCCGTTTAACCAAGGATAAGTCACAGGTTGTTGATGTCCTGAAAGTTGTTAATTTGAATGTGCATGCCAATGAAGTAAAATCTCTCAGACTTGGGCGGTTTGATCAAAGCAAATGTCGTCCGATTAAATTATTCCTAAAAGATGAAGATGTAACGTCATCAGAAATGCAAAAAACTTGAAGAACAGCACTTTCAATCGTGTATCAATCTCCTTTGACCGTACCCGAAAACAAATTGATCATTGCAAAGCGTTGCAAGAAGAGCTTGTAGTTAGAAACTCAGAAGGTTCTCAGAAGTTTAAAATTAAATACATAAATGGCACTCCTAAGTTATTCAGAGATTTAAACTGACAAGTTCCAGCAGTTCCGATGGGTTGAGCAGGTCAGTTTCTTTGTATTATCAAAATGTTCGGGGTCTGAACAGCAAGGCTGATAATTTCTATTCTTCATCATTTGAGTGTGAGTTTGATATCGTGGCATTAACTGAGACATGGTTAAGTGATGGTGTTTCCGATTCTGATTTTTTCCAAATGTCTATAATGTGTACAGAAAAGACCGTAAATTTGACAGAGTTAATAAAGCGTCTGGTCAGGGTGTTATATTGGCTATAAAGGACTTTATAAGCTCAGAAGTGATAGATGTAGCAGCTTTTGATACTCATTTTCCGTATATTGATCTGCTAATTGTTAAGTGTAAGGTAGAATTTAAAACTTTTTAAATAGCCACTTTATATGTGCCTGACAAAATAGGACTTGAGGAATTTGAGCAACTGGATTAAACAACAATAGCACAATCCTAGTGGGTGATTTTAATGTCCCGCATTTTGTTGTTAACAACCCTTCTGATGCTAAGACAGAAATTGTACTTAACTATATGGCCTTGTTTAATCTCAGACAGTATAACGACGTCCGTAATGGATTAAATCGGTTGCTTGATTTGGTCATATCTCACTACTCTTGTGTAGTAGCTCATGACACCACACCTATCGTGCCTGAGGATGACCATCATCCGGCACTGTTAATTAGTAGGTATACCAAATTTATTTGGAAGGAGGCTAAATTTCGCTACAATTTAACGAATAAGGTATACAATTTTAGAATAGCTGATTTTCCTTCACTGTATAGAGAACTCCTGTCAATAAATTGGACTTCGACTGTGAATTCTGATGATACAGATATCGCAGTAGATCGTTTTTGTGAAAAATTGTACAGCACTTTTGATACTCATATACCTGTATACAAAAATTATTGTCACAAGTATCCACCTTGGTATAATTCCAATATTATTAAAAGTGTTAAACAAAAAGCTAAATACAGGAAAAGGTTTGCTAAGCTTGGACATCAGTCAGATATTGAAGAATTTCAGGGACTGCCCCGTTCAATCAAACTTCAAATAAAGAGGGCGTATAATATCTACATGGAGAATGTTCAGAATAGTTTAGTTAGGAGAAAGAAATTTTGGTCGTTCACGAACATGAAAAATAGTACATCACGAATTCCTGGCGGAATGAAGTATCAAAATAATACGTACTGTCAGCCTCAGTCGATTGTCAATGTATTTGCTTACTTTTTCAGCAGTGTTTACCACCAATCAGACTTAAACGTTGATATCGTTGAGCACGTTAACCATAACATCCATCTAATTTTAGCTCCTGCCCAGGATAGCGAAGTTATTTTAGCCATTAGTCAGCTAAAGGATAAGATGACTTCGGGTCCTGATGGTATTCCTTCGTTCCTTGTAAAGGACTGTGCTAGAGCTTTTTCTCCTGTACTTACTCCCTTATTCAACATGTGCTTAAAATCCAATATATTCCCGAATATATGGAAGGTGTCCAAAGTTTGTCCGGTCTTCAAAAATGGAGAAAAATCAGATGTCGAGAATTATCGTCCAATTTCTCTTATATGCATTTTTGCGAAAGTCTTTGAATTAATATTGTACAATCGCTTGTATCCTTCAATAAAAAATCAAATATCACAAAAACAGCATGGTTTTGTCAGCAACCGATCTACAGTCACCAATTTGGTTATTTTAACCCAATATATTTCTGAAGCTCCAGATGATAACTGCCAGGTTGATATGATCTATACGGATTTGTCAAAGGCATTTGACAAAATTGACCATGGGGTTTTGTTGATGAAACTTGGTCACTTTGGTCTCTCACTTAGCGCTATAACATTCTTCAGGTCGTATTTGTCAGAGCGAAAACAATTTGCTGAATATATTGGCTTCAAATCTGAAACCTACTTAGCCCCATCTGGTGTTCCCCAGGGGTCCAACTTGGGACCATTGTTATTTTTATTATTCATAAATTATCTTTGTGGAAGTATGAAAGGTCAACAGTTATGCTTTGCAGATGATATGAAGATATATTCATTAATCAGTGACGTGCAGGATTGCTTAGATTTACAGATGCAGTTAAGTAGTGTTAGGATTTGGTGCGATCTCGATAAATTACATCTAAATATAAGTAAGTGCAGAGTAGTTAGCTATAGCAGAAAGAAAAATGTTCGTGTATTCAACTATAATATCGATGGTGTGGTGCTGGTAAGAAGCGATATAGTCAAAGATTTGGGTACTATATATGACCATAAATTAACATTTACTACTACTATATTTCGCGGAAAGTTTCGGAATCCTTTAAGTCTTACGGTTTCATTGTCAGGAACTGTAAGCGATTTGATAACTTAAGCGCCTTAAAAGTCTTATATTTTACATATGTACGTACAAAACTAGAATATGCGAGTGTTGTGTGGAATCCGTATTACCAGACTTATACAAATGATATTGAGAGGGTCCAAATAAGTTTCTATACTTCAAATCTGAAGGAGTTTACCCTGAGCAAGGCATTAGCAATATGGAACTATGAGAGCGTTTTGAAATTCATAGTTTAGAATGCAGAAGGAAAGTTTCATCTGCCATATTCCTTTTTAAACCGCTAAATAGCATTATTGATTCCCCAGTCATTTTGGCACAGATTTATTTCAATGTTCCTTCGTTCTCTTCACGCAACTATGTAACTTTTAAGCTACCAAGGGCTAGGACCAACGTGTTAGTCAAATCTCCTACATATGTTATGTGTAAACATCTAAATTGTATTAGCTGTCATTGTGATATATTTACTTGTTCGCTTAACTCAGTAGTTAGAACGGCTTATTTGTATTTGAAATAACTTTCTTTTTTTTTTTAACACCACTGAATATTATTTAATTGTGCTTATGTAATTGTCCTATAAATGGGGTAACTGTTGGACAATAAACGCTATTATTATTATTATTATTATTATTTAAAACCCAAAGCACACACAATATTCCAATAAACCCATGGTTCAAACGCAGCTTATATCACAGTTCGGTTGCCCATCGATAGCCTGCCACAAACACTCAGTTCCACAGCAAAGGTAGGCGTAATGCTGAATTTCATCTCAACCAAAGAATAATACAGGAAGGTACTTAAAGCCGACCACCGTTCTTGTTGTTGATTACAAACTATGAAATATAGCTAGAAATATTTTCTGAAAACCCCCAAATTGTATGCGAATAACACTTTGCAGCAAGACATAGCCCACAGCGAGGCTAAGTTGATACATCTTCTGTGACATACAGGGTGGAAAATCGTGCATCTAATGGTGACCTTCTGTTTGACGTTGACGTTCAAGGTCATTTCAAGGGCAAGTTGATTTTTTCAAATGAGAATTCCCATTTTTATTGTAAGTCAAAAACATCATCTACAACGGTATAAATATCACAGAGGCTAAAATTACATATAGAGGTTATTTCAAGGCTCCTTCATGCAATGTTGTGAAGAAGCAGATTACTGGAAAAAGGAAAACTTTTAACGCGACCATTACAGGGCCCTTACTGACCGGACACTGGATCCCAATCTGTCTGGCATTCAATGGCATGAAATAGTCTTACGACAATATCTTGAAGCATTAGTCCAAACCCTCTTTTTTCACTTGCAAAGATTTTCGTTGGTTCCAAGGAAATAGGTCATCTGACCTTCAAATAACTTCTGGATGTGATTAAACCCGTGAACATGAAATTTTTCACTATTTTCAGCGCTGAGATCAGCATCTATGGTTTCCATGTGAAAAAATCAATTTGACCTTAAATTGACCTTCAAGGACATAGCCAAAGTCATAATAAAAGTCAGCAGTCCGTTGAGTGCCCTGAATCTTTGCTTCCAAAGTTCTTTATTAGTATTCGAGTTCGAGTTGGCCAACGATATGGGTGTTCATGTCGCTGGATGTGTTCTGTTATAATTTCTTTGTTTCGAAAATTTTGGAATTTTCACGCAAACGCTATTAATTAGTACAGTTAACAAGCTTGTGAAGTGAGACTTCCAGACAAAGTGCATAGGCGAAGATATAAGCAATATTTCTGCTACAAAAAACATACGTGCAAAGAAGCAAGAAAGGTTGGTGGATTGTTTTGGTTAATACGGTCCGTAGAAGATTAAATTCCTAACAAAAGAAACGCTGATAGTATAAGAGCTGATATCACAGAGTTAACTGAGCCTTTAGCGATTTTATTTTCCACTTTTTGTCTCTACACCTGACTAATGTTACTGCCTAATTTTTCGAAATGACTAGCAGCAATGATCTAAGTAATACAGAGCTGCTCTCTAAATTAGTGGAATTAATAAAAAAAGAGAGCAACAGTGTTAAAAGTGAAATCAAGCAAGAGATCCAAGAAATAAAACTAGAGAACGCGAAAATTTTGAATCTTGTAAAACAGCAAGACGAAAAGCTCGAATTACTGGAAAAATCATACAAAAAACTGGAGCAACAGAATTTACAATTGGAAAGAGCCGTCCGGAAAAATAATATACTTGTATTTGGACTGGAAGTTGATAGCAAAACTTCTAATCTAGCAGATATAGCAACAGGGAAATTAAACGACCTGTTAGGAATAAACATATCTAACAACGACTTACAAAATATATACGTTATAAACAATGAAAACTGCCCTGTTAAGATTGAGTTTATTTCGTACTTCAAAAAACAACAAGTGTTTCAAAACGTACACAAGCTTAGAGGTAGCAGTGTTTTTGTTGTGCAAGATCTATGCGAAAAGGACCGTCAGACCAATAAAATACTCCAGAAACACCGCAAAGCCGCAAAAGCAAAAAACATTCCTGCTAAAATTGTTGGTGATAAACTAATAATAAATGGAGACTCAT